GGTCCTAGCTGACAAAGCGGGTAACAACATTGTCTTTGTTTGTAAGGCTCATTATTTGAATTGTATTTTAGAAGAACTGGGATATATTTCCACAGGTGGTAATTTAATTTATACCTATAGTTCCCTTTCTAAGGAGGAAATCTTCAAAATCATATGTCAGTTTTGAATATTTTTATTTTCCCTAACAGCCAAAATGAATTTGAATTACCATGTTTATATTGGATTCCGAAATTTCATAAAAATCCTTACAAACAAAGATACATAACGGGTTCCAGTAAAAGTTCTACCAAGTCTCTTTCTTTACGCCTCACAAAATTTTACCGAAATCAATAACATATAAAAACGTATGACTTTTCAACTCTGTATACAGCCATTCCCCGCGAAAAATTAAAGTCCAGGCTTTTTGACATCATTGACGGCTGCTTTTTTCAACAAAAATGGAACTCGTAACTTTACGTATCTTTTCATTAGTCATTTACAAAATTATTTGGTTAAAAACATTCTGATTGTACACCCAAGTACTGTGAAGTTGATATGAAAGAGATGCTTGAGTTTTAATTAACAATATATATGTGGTTTTTGGAGACCAGGTCTTCTGACAATCTGTTGGAATTTCAATGGGTACTTACTGCGCCCCGTTATTAGCAGACCTATTTTTGTATTCATATGAAGTAGAATTTATTCAAAATCTTATACATGAGAAAAAGAAATTTATTGCTATGGCCTTCAACTCGATATTTAGATATATCGACGACGTAATATCAATTAACAATAGTTGATTCCATTCATATGTTAACACGATATATCCCAGAGAGCTTGAAATAAAAGATACCACCGAGTCTGACACATCTGTTTCATATCTGGATATTTTATAAGAAAAATACTTTAATGATAATCTAAGAACAAAGCTTTATGATAAACGTGATGACTTTAACTTTTCAATCGTCAGCTTCCCATACTTATATATGCAGCAATATACCCTTATTACCTGCATACAGGATGTATATTTATCTATCAGTTGCAAGAGCAAGAGCATGCTCTACGTATGAACAATTTCTAAAACGAGGTAAGTTTTTTGACCAACAAGTTGATGAAAGAAGAATATCAACAATGTCGTTTAAGGTCAGACGACACGTTCCTCAATAATATTTCATTTTTTTCCAAGAATTTGTCATTGGAGTATTGCTACATTAACGAGTTTCCTCACAAAAAATTAAGGTACTTTACCAGGCATTTGTGCAAGATACCAGAGGATGTTATTTACTATATAATCCTTTTTGGAAATCTCTAACATTGCCCATATCACATTTTTTTGTCTTTATCTACTTAGACATTTTGAAAACAGTGTAAAAATCAAAAAATAATGATAATTATGATAAATTTTTTGTATATTATGAAGAGGTACAAACCAGATATTAGAGCATTGTGTCGTCAGACTTTAAAGTCATCATTTCGTAAGTTCTATGGTCGATACAATAACCTTGTCAGCAAATACAATCTATCATTAAGTCACATGCTGACTGACGTTTTTCATACTAATTGGTAGGCCATTATTTACACACTGAACTGTCGATGGATTTTTCCGTTATTTCCCGATCATGATAACACACGACAGGGGATGCTCACTCCTTCATTGTACCTGATCCCACCTCTGATGTTTTTGGAGGTCAGTGTTTCCTCTTCTCCCGATTTGCATTGATTTAACGGACTTTGGGCTTGAATACTGTTCATTATCTCCATATTTCATTCGTTTGACTGTGTGACTGTTTTGCTCCATTGCATTTGTTATAAGTAAAATTAATCGTAGAATATGTTTGCTTTCTTATTATTTTTTTGATTTGGCTATATGTGCTTAATTGAAAAGGCGCAACTGGATTTTTTTTATAACCTTTGCTTAAATTATATAGCTTTCTAGAGATGAGACCTATACTAGTACTTAAATTTTTAGGTCGTTGTAAGTAGTCAGTCACAGAGTAACGCACAGATAGGCTTCCTTTATTTTTAAGTAGTGAGTTTCAAACATCCAATATCTTTGTCAGATAAGTCCTGTAGGGTAGTTAATGATGATTTAAGTGCGTGTGTAAATTATTTCCGGAGTCCTCTCCTCCCCCGCCGAAGGAGAGTACTTGTGTGTCACAAAGAATATTAAACAATTGAATCTGTTTGTTTGTGTTTATATTTATACACAGAAGCAGGAAGCCCTCCAGCTAATAGTATGAATACAGATGTAACTTACGATGACAGGACCACGTGCTACATCAAAGACATGTTTACACGCATAGTTTTAAATTTTCTGAGTCAAAAGTAATAATAATAATATGAACACTTTTCTATCAAATATTACATTTTTTTCCTCATACTTTGAGAGAGACTGCATTTTTGATAATCTGGATTATGTATCCATCATCCACCATGTGCTAATGATAGAGTTAAGAAAGTTACTGCGTGATACAGTTTCCCTCCTTTTACATTAACTTTTAATGGCAAATTAATATTATACATGTAAATTTTAATCTGTTATTTCTGTAGCTACCATGTGCTAATATTAACCTTCAAACAGTTACTTTGTAATGCATTTCTTTTTTAAATTGTCTTCACAGTTCTAAGAATTTAGTAATTATTTTTGTCTTAAAATCCGGAAAAGAATCATTTCATTCTATTTTAGTTAAGAATTTCCTTTCTTAGAATATTATGCAGACTGTGATATTCTATGGTGATAATTTAAGAAATCAAATCATTTCACAGTAAAGGATATTCTATTTTCACATATGGAGCAAACATTTTTTTAAGTTTTGTCAGTTTTGATCATTTATTATTTGGATCGAGTTGAATGATAAATTTCTTATAATAAACATTATAAAGTAAATACAAAGAAATCCATATACATGTATGTACGAGTACATGTATCTTTCAAAATAGTATTTAATCCAATCACTTTTCATTTTATTAGCAAGATAATATACTTCATTGTCTATAACTAGTAGGTCTAATAAATAGTATTTAATCCTCTATGGTGTTTGTACAGAGTGTATCTCGAAATAGTCCATCATGATAACCATAATCTACAGTTACCGAGATTCATGTTTTCGTGTAGTGGTCTCGCTTAGTCCATATCTGAAGAATCTCATTTTAATTCCGGTCCAATGACCTCGTTGTCACTTGAACAAGGAAAGAAAAAGGTATGTATTTCTTGCTCGTTTGAAATTGAAATATATATATATATACATACATGAAAATTTTAGCTTGAAACTTAGATATTTTTAAATAAGTATACTAGCTTTGGTATTAATTAGTTATCACCAATTACTTTATTTCAAAAACGATGTATAAATTATTCGACAACAGTACTAGTTCTAACCATAAACTTCTAGAAACTGAGAAAAAAATGTATTATCAAAATAACATTGCAACTCTTTACCATTGTTTTAAAAAATTTTCTCTATATCCAGGGGAATATATTAACAAAAATCATTTTGATCCATGAATGTCTGTCCAGGAAAACTGTGACCATGTTTCACTTCGAACATAATTTTGAATAGTTCTTTTTTTAATCTGAAAAAAAAAACTGTCCATGTTTTAAACATACTCTCCTCAATAATGTCAATAAAGAGTGTAGTTATGAAAACCAAAAGTTTGTTCTTAAGGAGGTAAAATGTAAATCTCTGCTTGAGACTTGTGTCCAAATCTGAATTCAATTTCAATAAAATTATTTCGAAGAACAACAATTAGTGAAGTTATGGTGGAATATTGATCAGATTTTTGAAATAAAATCACTCGCTATTGTGAATGTTGAAAATACTGCGTAATGTATACTTTATCATAATATATTATTTACTAAACTTTACCATAAAGCCCATAGTTATGAAATGACCTTCCTCCTTTTGTAGAGATTAATTGGAATTGTAACATATATCATTTAATCGACTAAATTTTCTCCCAAAGGTGCCATTAGGAATCAAATAATTGTGAAAGATATTTTCAATGTTATTTTAGATCATTTAGTGGTATTATATAAGGTAGATATGTTCGGTTTGTCTTGCAAAACAGATCAATCCCATTATCCTCTTACAGACCTCCATTTTGATTTCAAACTTTTCAAACAAAATAAAGATCAAATTCAGAATTTCCCTGTGGGTGACACAGGTTAACAACGAATGTGAAAACAATAATCCGTTCACTACATATGTTTGAATGACATTCCCTACGAATTGGTGACAGTTAATGTTAGTGTTCGATCACTGTATTGTATTTCAAGTGGTTCTAGGAGAATTGTGCTTGCACAGGATGTTTTTGTACAAATGCAAAGTTTGCGGAAACTAAGTACCATCTCAAATAGTATCATATACATTAAAGTTTCTCTATACATTTAATGTGTTTGTAAATCATTTCCAATTACATTTCAAATCCGTTTTATTCTAAAAGCTCTCGGAGACAATCAGGAATTTTTCATTGTTCTGTATTTTGGTGAAGCACTGAGTTGTATGAACAAATCTTTATAGAAAAATGTGATCATGAATGTCTGGAAAATTTGATTTGTAATGAGTCTTAACAAAATTCTGGAAATTTACCATCACATGGTCTACCAAATAGAAAAAAGTATTTTCTTGACAAGATAAATGTTTGAGGGCCAGTTTTCGATATTTGTTTAAGAAATTAAAGATACGGAAAATATTTATTGGTTTGTTTCAAGAGTCACTGCAAGTACACAGTCTCATTTTAATGAAGATAAGAGAATGTCTGTCTGAATCCTTTGAGAGAAACCGTTTGGTTAGCTTAGGCATAGGAAGAAATATAATGGAGAAATTCAACATTTTTGAAATTGTAAATTTTTTTATTGAACAACCTTTGTATATATAATTGCAAAATAACTTCTAAAATTCAAAATATAAAAAAATAAACGTGTAAAAATTAGTAAAATAGTTGACATCATAGTGAGCAAAAAGCACAATGAATAAAATGCAAAAAAATGAGACAAATTAAAATACACAGACACACACAATGTACATGAGACAGGCACACAATAAATTACGATTATAGCAGGGGTACACAACATTTTCAGAACTGAGTATCGTTTTCAGGGATGCCTTTGAAAGACTGTGGTAAACGCTGCCTATTGTTTTTCACATTGTAGCAGGGTCACTACCGGAGCTTGTATTTGACCCTGAGCCTGATACTGCTTCGGTTTTTTTGGCACAAGTACATCCCTCTTGTTTCATATATGTTTGTTCTGAATACTGATAAACCCCATCAACACAGACTGATTTCCTAGTAAGAATTCTCACTGGTCTGTATACGGGCTCGCATCGAGTGGCGGTACTGGGACCATTTTCTTCCAGACAAGCTTGGCATTTGCATCGAGCCTCTGTTATGATCTTTGGGTACCGTGTGGAAAGATGGGAAGCCACGAGGAAATATGGACAAGTGGTTCTTTCGTGGACTTTGCTTTTTGGATCAGATGTAATGACTCTCAGGCTTGAAGGACAGACTTTGTTACCGAAGATAAGTTGTTCTTCTTCATCCGGACGCGTGTTGTTTGCTGAATATGAACCCAGTAATTCATCTATACTTGACCCCGATTCTTGGGACAAATATTGAGCGTACTGTTCAGCAAGGTTTGTTGGCTCTGAACATATCACTGCTGATTGAACTTGACCAGCCAAGAGGAAAAATGCACTGCACATCACCTAGAATTAAAATAATGAATGAGTCCAATGGTTGTTTTTTGTTTTTGATTTTTTTTTTTTACTTTTATAATTAATATCGAAATAAAATTTAAATGAAGATCGAATTTAAGATTAATCATTTGGATCAATTAAGTTAAAGTTGTATCATCGTGAAACCGTTTGTATTAATGGAACAATAAATCAAATACTACAAAGTAAACAAACACACCCAGTTAAGAATACAATCATTGTTTTGATTTTTCATTTTTGTCAGGTTTCTTTTTATAAGGTATTTATTTCTAATCGCTCGTATTTTCGTGTATAGCTATCCCTTAAAATACTATAAATGTTTTAGAAGCCAAAAATCTTGATGAAAAATATTTCCAATTACAAAAATTCTTACTTAAAAAAATTTGAAAGCATATATTGTTCTAAATTCAAAATGATTCATTTCAGAGAAAACTCGTCATTATATAGTGATAGCATAAGAATGAAAAAGAAAAAAAAATAGATGGATCCTAGATTATCATACACTTACCAATTTGAATGACATTAGAAAAGAGATGCCCATTTTAAATGTATTTCTTATTTTACGACTTTCTGATAGCCGAGTTGTTTGTGGTAGAATGCCGATTCAGTAACATGGTGTCCATTAAATAGAGTCTACAGAAAAATTTTGGACAACTTGGGGAATATTTTTAACTCAAGACTCTTCCTAAAACAGACGGTGTTGTTGAGCATGCGTCTAGCGGAAGGAACACCCCCTTTCCTGGTTGGCTTTTTCGTCGCTCTATTTTTAGATCACAAATACGAAGGATCCCCCTTTAACGATTGGCTCTGTAAAAGTAATACTTTTAAACGGGTTAAAGCGACCGTTCCGGGCTACTGTCTCTACAATACCCATAGCTAATTTTCTGTCATAAATAAATCATTGGTTGCTACTTCAGCAAGATCAGTTTGTTATTATCCTTATGTCTTTAATTTTACTTCCCATTATCTTTCATTTAAAGAAAGTACTAGTAGACTGCTACACGGGAAGTTGTAGGTTTTGTACGTATAGTAAAATTCATTATTTAGGGTTGTTCATTTATTTTATTCTCCTTATATATTTTGATATGAAACCACATCTATGCATAACAATGTATAAAGTCGTTTATCAATTCAATCTGACTTTGTAAAACCTAGAATGAAATTAATTCTTTTCTTATTCTACGTTAGCTTTCCTGTATCGTCATTTACTAATTTTGCATTTCTTACAGTCTTGTAAAGTCATTTTAAATTAAATGAAAAGTTTCAAAGCTGACAATGTATCAAGGTCACAAGTTCTCTATCAATATAATCTGTTAGAATTCTAACATACCTTAATTTTTAAATATAGGCATTATCCCATAAAACAAAAATCCCTTTAACGAGCTAGCATAAAATTCCGAAATAAGTATGAAATGTATATGATTTCAAAACTTTGTATTCTGGGAACAGTATCTTTACCCGGAAGAAAATTCATTTCCATCTCTCTCACAGCTGAATACAGACAGATTTGAACAGGTGCTGGAATGCAGACGGAAAAAAAGAATATTCACTTATTATGAATCCACAAACGAATATCCTGAAATGTGAGTTTAGTACTTATGTCAATATTACAAATAGAGTTTGTTTTGGATTATTATTTCCTTTTGAAACAAAATTCGTAAAATTTACATTTCAGGATTTGGTCTCAAGTTTACAAATTAGTACCCTGATTTATAATACGTGTATTCATTATTGTGTGATGAGGTTACGGATTTTTCCTCTAAATATTAAGTTGTAGGTGGTACAGGTGTCCCCCTTAGTTATGGTCCAGTAAGAAATAATCTAATACTTTTATGTACAGTCAACTTCTGTTGTTTTTCCCTGTTTCAGCGACATCGTCTAGAGAGATGACATCTTATACAAAATGATATTACCCATCTTAAACAGAATGTTATTACCTATGTAAAACTTACAAAAGTTAATAAGGTTTTCTAATATTATTTTTAATAAGGTTTTCTAATATTATTCATAATAAACTAATATAATTTGTTTGGTAGCATCGATTAGAATTGTTTCAAAATCCCCATGATTGAAAAGTTTTTACATTTCTTTCTGCATCCAGTCCCTCATATTCATAATTTCTCAGTAATGCATCAGATAAGCGTTCTTCAAATGCAACTCCTTGAGTTTCTCGCCTTCATTTACAGGAGAACGAGTGGTGAAGTGTTCGTTTCCCACACGTGACTGAGATAAGACAACGTTTCCTTTCGGATGTCGCAAAAGTGGCTTTTACTGTATCTATTTTCCCCGTCTCTTCTAAACTGTTCATTCATTCAGAAGCCGAGATGCCACTTCACTAACCCATCACATGATTCAAGATTGTTTTAATTCGTCCATAATCAAGCTTAGGTCTTGAGTAATGATCAAATAAAATGTAAGTCACACTAGTAGCCACAAGTAGTATACTCTTGAATTTATTTTCTCTTCAAATCCGTGACCTAGTATCCGACTTCCAAGAGAGTCATCTTAAAATATCGTCAAAACAAATTATATATTCTTCTTTTTAAAAAAAAAAAATGTTGATAGGACAACGTTTAGTTGATATTGGTAAAGGCGAGTGTGGATGTTTTCAATGTTTTCGCGATTCATTCACCTTGTTATATTCATAGTGGAGAATATTAGCTTAATAATCATGCATACACAGACTTTCAACTCTTAAGGCACACGTTTTATTATTCACATGCTTCTGTTTCGTTTTATAAAAATACAAGGAAACATATGGCATATTTATGTTTTGATATAGAAAGCTTCTAAAGTCAACCGATGAATTCATATTGTATCTAAACTAAACTTATTATTTCTTTCCTACATGTATCTTTCGAAATTCATTTGTTTACATTTTTTTCACATTTTTTCATGTGTACAGTTTGGAATACATATTCAGCTAAAATTTGAGCCATTTGATTTTATTTCCTGTTAATACTGACCAGCTCTAGTACAAGTGGGAAATTGATAATGGAATATTTGGGATATCCCCCTTGAAACAGTGTTCGTTTTACTTTAAAAATGTAAAACAATTAAACCTGAGCTTTTTTTTTTTAAATATAAATCCTTAAAGTATTTCAAAATCAATTGCTTAGAAAGGTGGGGAAAATGCCGGATTCTATGCCAATTCTATTACTGCAACATCGTGTTTAAAGATATATACCTTTTTTAACTGACAAATTTAAATGCCTTTAGCACAACTTATAGACTATCTTTATTTGGAATGCGGAAGTAACAACGAAATCTGTATATGTGACCTTGACCTCATTACAGTCTAAACAGAGCAACGTAATCTTTAAATGTGTCAAAGCTCCACCGTGTGATATACTTGACAGATATTCTAGACACTAAGTCACTGTAGAATTAATTTTTTGTTGTTGAATAACCATGATTTGAACACGTGTTTTAATGACTTATTGTATTTCTTATCCTTTTTTAACTCTTGGGGGAAGTTTCTTTAGAAAGCGTACACTTCCGGAATAGGATAGATCTACCCCTTCATTCATTGTTCTGTCAGCGATTATAGCTACAAACAAGGGAAATTTGTAATCTCTAAAATCCCGTCAGGTTTTAACGTCTTTTATTATGTACATTATTACAAAAAAGGGAAATATTTCTGATTCAGTACACGGGTATATATGTTCTTCTCCATTTATTTTCCATATGATTGGTAATTCATGAACTTTCTTGTTGATCTTTTGTAACCAAACATTATATTAAACCTTAGAAATATATTTTGAAAATTCTTTTCGTCAGTTAATTTAATTTAATTGAAATGGTTTAATGATAACTTTTTATTCGTAATTACATAATATATAATTATATATATAATTTTGTTTTATTTTTGTTGTTGTTTTTCTTGAGGGGGCGGCGGGGATGTTGACTGTCTTGTCCTGTTTAAAATTTAAAAAAAATGTTCTGAATTACATATGACATATGGTATTAGATGGCCAATATCTCTTATTTTACATTGAAATATGATTTAAAATGCACAGATGTCATATCATAGACTTTAAAGGCCTTGGTCAGTACCCTCTAAAGGCAGGAGTACTACCTCGGCATCTTTTTTCAATTCCCTTTTCGATCAGATGTGCATTTCCTTTATGTGTACACATTATAAAATTGCAAAACAAACTTTCATCACTCCCTACCGTACAGAATATACCGAAAACTTTTGACTTCATTTTAATATATTTAAAGACACTTCAAAGGTTCCTTGAATTAATTAACGTTTAAAATCACAGATATAATTTTACCTTAAGGAAGATGATCATTTATTAAATTCATACTCTTTATGTCGCAGGAAAAAAAACATTGTGCAGATTCACGATGACGTACAAATTACAAACTCTATTAACAGATACAACCTTAGGCGAGTTATTAAACATAGGTCATCTAATTAATTAAGAGAATTAATTAATGAAGAGTTCAAGGTAATATAGTGTTCATTTTCTTCTGGTAATAGTACGTCACAAAGGTTAAGACTTTTTTAGTACAACTAAATGCGCTTCAGAGCGGAAGGATCCGGTTAAGGTATTCTGCCCTTTGGGCTAATTATTAATACATTATACTTGCTAAAATTTGCCACTAACATCGAAATCATTAATTTTTTATATATAAATGTTTGTATATTTGAAGGTAAATGGTTCAGTGATATGATCTATATCTTGGACAAAAACCCGTCTAGCCGCACAGTATACTATTTTTAGAACTGATTTTAAAGCATTCTGTTTAAAAGTAACCAAATTAAAAATAAATAAATTAAAGTAAAAATAATTTACCATTATTGATAATTTTCCTGTGATTAAGGTGCACACAGATTTTGTTCTTTACTTAATTCTGTATTTGTGTAAATTTTATACAAGTAAGGAAAAGACTAAATGAACTGTAATTAACTCATTATTTTTTAAATATATTTTTCATTGCTTATCGAGATTTTTTTAAACTAATTTTTCTAACAATGAAATAAGACGAAGAATGTTTATTGTCAATTTCAAACCAATTTTCAAGACAGTGACTTTATTCCGAGAGGCAACAAAGAGAAATGGTTGTTTTTACTGAAGGTCATTATTTTCCTATTATCTGAATAGCTAGTACATGGGTATTTTATTTTATCAAACCAAAATACAAAATTCTTTTTTTGGAAATCAACACAGCATTATACAGTTCTAAAAACAATGGACAGTGTTAATTCAATGCAAGTTATAGGTAAGATAAAAAGCAATTTTACTTACTTTTCTTGTAAAGAGAAAAAAATGTGATATAATTTTAAAGATTGTACAAAGTTTGTACAAATACATTCATGAGGCCTGAGTATATAGTCGTCTTTTTTTAAATTATGAAAGACGCTCATGTATAATAAACCTGTTCTGTTTACGCTTGTTTGTTTATATGATACTTTTCACTTTTGATTTTTTTTTTGTTGTGTTTTGTTTGTTGTTTAACGTCCCTCTCGAGAATTCTTCACTCATATGGTGACGCCGCCGGTGGAGAGCTGCAAATTTTGACCTATATGATAAATTTTGACTCGGGGCCATTGAGCAGTGAAGAATCTTTTTCTGCCAGCACCTACTGCGACACGGGACCTCGGTTTATACG